AGTGTAGACAGAGCCTGATCGGTACATACACAAAAATTAGCTATTACTTGAGAATCATGGTCTTTTGTAGATCTCAAAAAGTGCCCACATGTACAGTATGTTTCTATCCTCTCCAAATACCCACATATCCTCCCCAAATACCCAAGTGTACATGTATCCCTATCCTTTCCAAATACCCACATGATACCCCAACATATGGGTACACAAATCCTATCCCAGCTTTCGCATTTTCTACAAAGCTTGAAACAGCAAGAGTGTTAAATTCTGTATCTGGGTGTCACTCACCCAAACTACTGTTTACTATGGAGTTAACTGTATTTACTAAGCTGGGTGGTGTTTGTTTTGATGCCTCTGGAACATAGTGCTTTTAATTATTTAGGTATGATTGGCATCTTACACTTACAATTAATGTCTATCACACTTATAATGATGTTGTTACTTCGTATAATTCTAAGCAGAAGGCAGAATACATATAAGGCCAATTAACAAACAACATGTCTCTTAATTTTTTTTTTCTTGTCCTAGTTTTCTGAAAAGTATGCGACTATCTTTTACTCTCAAATAATATTAATTTAGTCACTTATTAGGTGACCTTCCAAAAGAGACCAGTGTGTCATACACACTAAAAACATAGTTATCAATAAAAATGTAAACAGGTAAAAGTAAATGTGTAGGGTTTTCTGGGTATTGGCTTGTGAAATAAAAAAAAAAAAAAAAAAAAATATTCCAAAACATGATTAGAAACATATTATTTTTATTATTTCTACAAAAAAAGTGTACTAAATAGATATGCCTACTGTACCTACAGCACTCTACAGCAAGAATTTCATTGCATATTTACAACAACTAAATATTTTAGCTAACTTTACTATTTTTAGTACACTTCTTATTCTCATGGACCCCACAACAGGTAAAGTGAACACTTCTAGCCTTTCCCCATAAACTATTTATTTGTCCCACCCCCTCCCCTTGAGCCATAGGTTCTTGGTTACCAAAGTTATATAGAAGGGTCATACCTCTGGCAAAAACATTTTTTGGAAGCAATAATGATACAGATACAGTTTTAATGTCATTCACATTGTGATTGAGATACAGATCCATGACAACAGTTCAGTGGTAAAAAAGATAATGAAAAACAAAAAAAAACAACAAAAAAATTGGGGATCCAGTGATGTTTGCTTTGGTAACAAGAAAAATCCTAACATTCAATTTCAGGATTGATCCCAGGATTATGGGATTGATCACAGGATTATGGGATTGATCAACAAGCACGGCATCCATTAAACCGCACCATCAAACTTGAGTTTCATGGTGAGACAGGCTCTAAATTACCACCTCAACTGATATTTAATTAGACCACAAAAACCAGTCCACAATAGAAAAATAGAACAATATAAAGTAAATAACAGCAGCACTTTTGAGACTAACAATATAGAATTTATTCTCTAGCTTTCGTCCACACAGTGGACTTCATCAGGAGACTGTAGTCCACTGTGTGGATGAAAACTAGAGAATAAATTCTATATTGTCTCAAAAGTGCTGACTGTTATTTACTAACATGGCTATACTTTTTATTCACTAGAAAAATAGAATATTGAATACCTGAAGCTGAACATTAATATTTACTGAACTTGTTAACCAAATAGAAAATATGTATCGTCAATAACATAAACACACAAAATTGAAAATCATTCCTCAAAACTAAACAAATATACAGTAACATACAATGCAGCAAACCACTAAGAATCCTATAAACATTAATAGACATGTACGGTATATGATACTGACTATAAAAAGTTAGTAACAGCTAAAATTGATAAAATTATTTTACTCCCTGTTTATTACCTTTCATATTTATATTGTTATGGATTGTAAAAGTTCATAGTTTGAATTATGACAAAAAGGTAAAAGGAAAAAAAATGTTATCCTGCCTTTTAAAATAAAATGGCTAAATGAATGAATTTTCATAAATTTCACAATCATATTTAATTCTTTCAGTTTTCGCTACCATTTCAGATCATTCAATCATATCACTTGACCGATCGTTATGCCGAGTCTAAATGGTTTTACTTTTGCGTTATGTGCCATTAAATTCATTCATCAACTACTGGTAAATATTAACAAGCAATTCTTGATATGCCCTCCTTGTTTTAAAAATAAACTAATTACGATTATCTACAATAAGAAATACTATAAATTTTTCCTCTGTATGCAGTTCATCATCTTCTGTGTACAGTAAGGCCAATTTTTACTATTGAATAAAAATTAAATAATTTATTACAGTATTATTACTGCATATGCAATTTTTGTTGAGCTGCCTCTTTTTTGACTACCACAAACCAATCATTAAAAAATTATACAGAATTCCAAATGACATCCATTTAGGCCTCACATAGAAATGTGTGAAGGGGAAAAGGAAACAATGCTGGCACTATTCTCCCCTTTCTGAACATGTAGAAGGATTATATATATATTTTTTTTAATTTAGCCTTAAATAGCATAAATGGTTTTTTTTAACATTTTTGTATATAAATTATTATATATCTTTTTAGATTTCCCCAATCAACAACTCTTGGACTACTGTGGGCACTTCGATTTTTTTTTTTTTCACAAGGGAGAAATTAAAAAACAAATTTGCAGGTACCAGCTTAGGTTGGTGATAAAACATGTTCTGTAGTGAACATTGTGTCAAAGTTTACTGGGAGTTAGAGCGGCTTAGGTTAATTTCATATTATCACATCAGCTAATACCTACTGGTAATGGTTCTCGACAATTCACTAAGCTCTACATCCTTGAATAATAAAAAATAATTTATTCATAATTGTTATAATGCCGTATGCGATGTGCCTGTTGTTATTTGAGAATCATATGCATAGATCTTTGTAAATAACATAGAACAATATACTAAAATAATATACAGTAATAATAAAATAGTAGAGTATATTATAATTAATGAATATATTTAGTTAGAATCTATAACAGCATAAAACAAATTCACTTATACCAGTAAATTTTTCTTTCTTAGAATGTTAATATTTGCTGAATAAACAAACACTGAAATAAACACTGAAAATGAAAGAAAACTATATTGTAACAGATGGTAATGCTTTCTGTTATTGTGTTCATATTTTAATATATTCTACATTGGTGGCTTCAAACAATAAAATCTTGAATATTTTAAGTCAGATATAATGTGGATGATGCTTCTACCAGTGAAAATACTTGGCCTTCAAAATATATGTAAATACACAATGTACTTTTAATTCATACCAGTACTGTTTAATGCGGATAAACAATATTCTATACTTACCTTTAGCATACCAAATGCATCATTATAAAAGTAACTAGATCTGGCCAGTGGAAAACAATAACAAAAAGACTATAAATGACTAAAGATATGCTGCTGCTGATGATAATGATAATGATGATGATGTTGAATTAAGATGGTGATGAATGTTAATGATAATGATGATGATGATAAATGATGATATATGATAATGATTATGATGATAATTATTATGATAGTGAGGGTGATGATAATGACGATGATGATAGCTCAGTAGCAAACACAAATTTGGTGATTCCGACACTGGCACATACTATAACAATACTGATGATGATGACAATGATGAAACATAGTATGGTGATACCGTTATTACTCAACAACAACAAAAATGACAATAATGATGCTTAATTATGAAGATAAAGTTGATAAAGGAGCATATTCATAACTCAATAAGAGTAAGGGATGAGATGTACTTTCATCATCCTTCATATGTGGACAAATTCTTGAACGTCACACAATACAAGGTACAATAAATTATGAGCACACTATCTAATAATAATAATAATAATAATAATAATAAGATGTGCAACAATAATTCACAATATAAGAGTAATAATAACATATGTACATTTGTCTTGCTATACAGTAGACATTTCTTACTTAACTAACACACTGTCTAATTAATACTTTATCAGTATTTTGAATTTTTTTACTTAATTAATAACGAAAAGAAATTATAATACGCATCCCAAGAAATGAAATCTAATAATTTATATCTCTACAATTCTTTACTTAATTATTATTATTATTATTATTATTATTATTATTATTATTATTATTGGATATAGATCTATATGTTGTAATCATTATTGCTATTTTATAAAACATCATAAATATCGGAAATTTCATCACAATATATTTCCCTGAAATTCTGCAGTTTGAACAAATATGGCTTGTGACATTTTACAGTCTATTTATTCACCGAATCAAAGATTGAAGATGAAATTTTCCCATTAACTGTCTTTAAAGTTGTTAGGATATTAGATTTGTGTGATTGATGTAATACAGTTTGCCCATCAATATTCAGTATTGCTCCTATTGACATTCGCCCATTACAAGCCGCTGGATATTCCACCTTCCAATCATTGTGTCAAAATATCTGCTTTTCAGGAGCTCGTTTTCATAGCTTTACTTCAGTAAGATTGTCCCTGGAGGACTCCAAGCTAATTTTCAGATCTATGCTACGCTGCGGTTTTAAGTGAATTGCATGGGCTTGGCTAAGATGTATTAATTATGTAAAGCTTTGGTAGACTGATCAGGTCACTGACAATTCTTACTACATTGTCAAAGAATAGTGTAATATAACTGTTAAATTTATTGTTCCAGTGTGTAGTAATATTTTATTATTTCTATTATTTTATTGCCAACAGTAAGTCATCAATAGTGCTATTTGAAAATTAAACAATTGATAACACAGACTTTCAAAAATGACAATGTATAATATTTGCTGAAATTACTGCTGAATTTTATGTACAGTTTAGATACATTTTTTAATGGGTTGAGACCACTTTCTACAGTTAATAAAAATAGATGCTGTATTTATTTTATGAATGGAGCATATTCTTTCCATGTAATATGACCTTAAAATTATGAATACATTATTCTGTACAATTTCTAAAAAATAATTATTGTACAACATAAGTATGATTCCTACCTTATCATAATCCAATGGTAGTCGATCCTCAGGCCATTCAAATACACCAGTACTGTGAGAGAGAAAATTAATGGTGAATATTGTTCAAATAATGGAGATATGGAGAAAATTAGTATAGATAACAGAGACGCGTTATAAGCTGGTAGAAACAAGATGAATAAATGCAGAAGCAGATGTGCTGTGTTTTGGTTTTATTATCATTTGTGTTAATGCTCCGAGCTGAAGCCACTGCTCTATGGCTGGATGACTCAACCTGAGGAATTGCTGGCATGTCATTGGCTGACTCCTTCTTGACTCCAATTTAAATATTTTACCGTCAACCCGAAATACCAATAGCATGTTTGATCGCTGCTATGTAATAATTCAACACTGCATTTGTAAAGTTACTCTTTTCTCTTGAAGTATATATATCCTTTGTTTGATATCTGTTATTGCAATGATGACTTTTCATCAAAACAATGTTCATTCAATAGATCCAATGTAATTTAAAACCTTGAGAGGTTAGATAATTATTGATTAGGGATTTTAAAACTGAGCCTAATATAAATAATAAGATTTTATTGACCTTCTAAATCTCTGTCTATCACCTTGACTATGTGTTTTGTATCTTATCATAGTAGCATAAAATGTTATATTATTTACTCAAATTTAGTAATCAGAATATTAAGGGTAATTCATTTAACACTACATGGCTTTTTATATTGCATATTTTTACATTTTAATTACGTATTTATCTCTGATATTATATCATATATCAATCAATGTTAATCATCAAAATGTCTATTTTAATCACATAAATAAAAATATATAATTATTTCATTTGAGTCATACATATAACTAATTTTGATTTAGTATTGAAGGAAAACTGTATGCCTATATTTCTTCATGTTGTCAGCATAACATTCTGAAATCATGGATGATGCACGTGTAATGTATGTTCAATAACAATGGCTTACATCACTTTCTTTGGTGTTTCTTGAATACCATGATTAAGTGATAATAAAGCCTGAAATAATGTCTAATGTAATGAGGCCTTCAAATATTTACTACAAATGTTTAAGAAGTTAATATCGAATTATCCAATGAATGACTATACATACAGGTATGCCCACATGATTACTGATAGGCATGAATAAACACACTTTAATATCACAACCAATCACAGGGTGGGAAGATTAAGATGTTTGTATTTTCAACATGCATGGATATTATTATTTGGCTAATCTATTAATTATACATGCTCGTCCTTTGATTTTTTTAAATTATTTAAGCTGGAAAAAAATGTTGAAAAAACACGGAAGTAGCATTCAAATAAATAATAAATAATTTAATAACATTTGAGTGAACAGTGCTTTATGATTTAACATGTGCTTGAGAGAACAAAACACTCATGTAGGCAAGAGTCAATAATGAACATTCCTGCAGCTGCCTCGATGTCAACACGGATTTAATGAATAGCCATGAACAAACACTCATAATTCCGCAGATACAGCTTCAGTTAAATATACACAACCAATCAGTGAGTGAATATCACTGGCAAATCACTACAGGTATGTGATTAAGCATGGTAGTTATCTTTAAAATAGGTTCATCTGAAGTTAAACTCGCTGTACTGTAGACAATATCAAAATTGGTGTATTGTAAGACCTGCATATTCAGGCCCCTTTCATGGCTTCACACATTTAAAGACCAAATACTGTCATAAATGTGCATAGTGTAAGTATTAGGGGTAGATTTTGGGGGGAGGGGAGGTAGGCTGGCCTCAGCCTCTCCCCTTCCCCCACCCCTTTTGGAAGGTAAAATAGAAAGAAAAAAAGATAACGAAAAAATCTCAAAGAAATTGTGATATGTTGTACAAACAATACACTGAAGATGTGTTTGACGAAAAACTTGGGGACAGTAATAATAGATACAGATTTTTGGACATAAAAAACTTTGAGAAAAGGTGGCTCGCTACAGTGAAAATTATCTCTGAAACTAAATAAAACAGGCTAGCGTACTACTACTGCATTTTATTTGTTGGCAAGTTGATCTATGCTAGTGTTTTACTTTATATTTCATGACTGGTTCTATTCCTTTTAAAGACCTATCTTGACTAGCTTATAAAACAATTTAATTTACATGACATAGTTTTACACTGATATTCATTATGTTACTCTCATTTTAATACAGTTGAACTTGTCGTATCCAAAATGGCATTAAAAATTGGTTAACTGAGATAAAACTTGACTTACAGATGGAATATATATAGAAATTATTCGAGTTAGGCAAAGTCGTCTTAGGCACGTTTAAGTGTATTTAGATTGTAATTAGCATAAATTCTGAATTAACTATTTCAAAACAGTAAAATGTACATATCAATCTAAAAAGTACACTACGTTTCTATAGGTACTTACCTATCACTCCAAAGAACATGGGTTCATTCAACTTTACGGTTAAAATAAATCAAACAAAAGTAGGCCTACAATACAGTAATTTGGCTTAAATCTTATGCATGAAACAGCAACTTCAGTAAGACTCCAACTATTTTCGTTTGCAGGCTAATTTCCAATTCTTTTTTGAGTGAGACTCTAATACTGCAACCTTCTAATTGCTCACCAATATGCTTCACCCTGTCTGAGGCTGCAACTACATTTTATAACTGCATTGAATTCTGGTGACAAATGTTTTTCTGGAAGGTAGTACTGCTTTCAGAAAATATTTTCAACTGTCTGATCTTTTATAACACCCTGTGGTAAATCAGACCACAATCAACAAATTGAGGTGAATGATAAATGAGAGAAAAGTCACAGAAACAGATTTTTGACAGGTTGGGGTACCCAGGGAGCATACAGAATTCAATAAATCCCAAAGGGGGAAAAAACTATAACATTGTTGAGAACTGTAAAAGTACCCTTTCACATATCCTAGTTATTACAATCAGGACTGAATTCAACAAATTCTGCTACACCAACACTTCATTCTGTTTGACCTGAATGGATTCACCTACACAGAAATAAACAGAGCTTTTAAAGATCTCAGTTGCACAGGGCAAACAACTGATCATAATAACACCTACACAGTTCAATGACCCTAACAACGTTACAAAATTTATGTGTGAAAAGAACAGTCACCAAGTGATATAGTGCAGTATGTTATTGATATTAAAGTGTTTAAATTTAAATTTGAATATATCATTCATATGCTGTAGTTATAACTATGACATTGTATATCTGATCTATTTGGAGAACTGTCTTTAATATTGTTTCCCCTTGCCTTAAATTATGTTTTTACTTGCATTGTACTTGAAATATTTGTTTGTACTGTATGCCCAAAGTAGTATCATTTTTCTTGTTACGTATAATTCCGCCAAGCCATCTGGAGGTGTAATACCCATAATTTTCTACTTCAGCCCCAACCACAGTGGGATGATGTAGTCTTAGACACTCCATCTGTAAAAGTGCCTTGCTTCCTGGGCACCTCTAGATCAAAAATGGCACTCTCAGGCTTAAACTTGAATGAAATCTTATTATTCTTATATTCAAAAATTTAGCATGACTGGCTAAGCTCACTTGACTGACTTGAATTGTCCCCCCTGCCTACCACCTATCATTTTATTGCTAAAAATATTGGGGTCAGGGAATTGGTCCGAAGGGTTTTTAGTCCAAAGGTCTGTTGGTCTGAAGTAAATATATTTCAAATGTTATTTGTTTACACATGATAAATGCCAAAAGAAGTATAAATAGTTTGATAATATCAAATAAATTGAACTTTTTTTTTGGACCAAAAGGTACGCACCCAAAATATTTGGGGTCAAGAATGGAGCATCCCTGTCGCGACCCTGTTCCTACCAATCCTTTTAACACTATACACGATGATCGTAATGTCGAGTTTTTATAACTAAATCTCCACAGAGCATGAACTCGTGAATAGACTTGATAAGACGATAAAAATAAAGACTGAAGTTTATAACCATTATACTCTATATACGGTTTAAAATAACAGTAGCACATTAAAATTACTTTTATTTTTTATTGTCTATTTTCTAGGTAAGTCTTAGTTTCTTCTGTTAGTTTTCTTATCTACAGCAAATAATACGCATGTTAAGAATTCAATATAAGTACAACCCAACAAATGAATTTCAGTTCACATAAATTTTGATTTTTTAAATTCCAATGCCCATACAATATGTTGTAGGATTAGTATTAAAGAGCAAAAAGGAATTTTGAGTTGCTGGTTTCAGCATGGAGCTTCAGCATGGAGTTAAGACATCTTAGTGAAGCATGCTGTAATTTTGCCATATGGTACCATATTGTGCATCACATGTTTTAATTAAAATCAGCTTTATACCCATGGAGTAATAAGCACTGCAAGCTTTAATAATACAGTACCTTCATCTTGGATTGGAAAACATTAGGCATTTCTTGAAAGCAATGATTGCTATATTTTTTATATATTTAATTGTAATATTCCTATAATAAAACCAAGTAAAATATACATATACTTTGATACCTTTGTTCAAGTTTTTTGCTGTAGCCCCGATTCTGTTAAACCATGAAGAAATAATTACGTAATCAAATGAGATATCTACTGTAGGTAGTCAGTAGCAGCAACATAAAAAACATTAAAAATGACAAATAAAAATTGCCTTCATCAATCCAAATATCAAGAAGCTTAAAAAATGTAAATGCAAAAATATATATGTATTAATATTAAACTATAAAAAACCTAAAATCTAACCAAGGAAAAGATATTTTGAAAAATACATATACAGTATTATCACACTATTAAATTCTGACAATTGTTCGGGCCTTTACTTCACTCTGGCATTTTTAAATTGTTTTCTAGCCTTAAGTCAAGCACATCATGTGCCCGACAGGCGTCAACCAATGCGATTCTATGGAGAACGCAATGCCATGACATGCGCGTGCCACCGAAAACCATCGCTCACAGGGAATGGAGTTGGATTCATCGATCAACGGTTGTACATGAATTGTACAACACAGTGTATCACCCACTTTAGGAAACTAAAGCAATCTATAAAGGGGCTCCTGAGCAGTTATCAAAGGCCCCTATGCTCTAATATCATTCACCTATTGCTACCATGAAGTCATCCACTTTTTCCATTATTATCAAGAGTACAAAATACCCTTTCCCAAAAGAGTACCATATATAATTGATTGTCAATTTATAAAAGAGTACTATACACATTTTACCCTCTCTTCCTAGAATATGTTTTGCACTTACGCACCGTCAATTGACGAGTGCCACTGTAACAAAAGTGTAAGTTCAACAAATTATTATTATTGTTACTACTGTATAATGATGAAAAAGGGATCATCCCACTACTGTATATACCAGTATACAATAATCAGCAACAATCGACTCAAACATGAATTATTCATGATATGGTACGTAGATTAATAAAACATAAGTATTCTATTTAGTTTACTTAATGTTTACAGTATAGTACAGTAGGCCTACATCTGAGCAATAGTACATCTGCTTCTCATATAAAATACACACAATGTTTCCTGTACAAACATTTTAATTAGCTTTGTTGCAACCAAGCCAACTAAAGTAACAATGATCTCCACAACTAATTAAAATTAATAAAGTATTATTGTTCCCCAATGGCAGTATGCATTCAAACAAGATTAATCTTATGATTAAATAATTAAAAATATGCTTTTAATACTGGAATATTTTGGTGATGCGTGCATTACAGTAGGTTATGCACTCTTTTTAAAACGAGAATATAAAGTAGAATAATTAATTTTAATTAATACTAAATTATATGTTAATAAAGTACTGAAATTAAAAGACGTTTTAAGGGAGAAATCTTTGATTCTGATCTTGTGGTGGGGTCTATATATTTGCCAGCAACATTATTTTTAAAATCATGATAAATCAGAAGTTTAATACAAGGGAAATTTGTTAACTTTTTAAACGTATCATATTAAATATGTATCATTTACATTGTTTTCAATGCAAACATTAAGACACTTTAGGTGCCGTAAATGATCCATGATCAATGGACCTACATTTGAACGACATTATGGAATTCTTGGATCAGCGCAAGGTGTTAATCCCCCAGAGCCTCACTGCTGTTCTTGTTCTTGTTACTAGAACTTTAAAAGCATCCAGCGTCAAAACACATACAAAACATACACCTACAAAACAAAACAGGGGTTTCAGCAAGAACTGCACATTACTGCCATTATCACTATGGCACGTCATATGGATGGCACAGTCAGTTAAAGATGTGTTCTAAGGAACTTAACGTTATGAGTTTGAATCGAGTCTTGGTATTAAATTTTTTTTCCCCAATTTTAAGAAATTAAAGTTTTTTTTAATTTTAAAGATATTATAATTTTGTAAAATGAACATTCTAAATAATACATTTTTTTGTACAAATAAACATTCTATATAAAAATTTCTTTCTTATTAGCTCTTCCAAAACACCCAATATAATAAGTTGTGCCAGCATTGTATTTAAGCATGGAGGAATGCAAGGACCAGTCAGCGGTCGCTCTTGTAAATAAAATTGTACAGGCGTAGATGTAGATTTGTGTACATTAAACCAGTTCCAAAATTGCAAACCAGTGACCAATCTTTTGAGAATGCTACTTAATCCACCATTCCAGAGTGTCAATCAAACTTTCCAACCGACCAATCAGAACATCACTAAAGACTACACGCTTGTATCACAAACACATGTTCCATAAATGGGCACCTTAGCAACAATATCCAAGGGGCGGAGCCATAGCACCATTGAGCTGAAATGTATTATATCTTGATGATTGCAGCAGGTATTTGTCTCATCAGAATTTGATGGTACCATTATCATTATCAAAATGTGTTTGGGAGTCACATGAAAAAAGACAGGTAGAGTTTATGTAGGAGCAATGTTTGCTGAGCTGTCAGAGTGTCTCCCTTATTCAGAATCATTTAATTTTGTTTTACCATATTTTTCCTTTTTTGATGGTACTCATTTCCTGTTTGTTTTTTGTTGCATAGTTAACTCGCCTAAGTCCACTTTGCCTAAATCAAATAATTAGCATGTCGACATTATTCTACAGGGCAAATTGTTGTTTTTCAATAATTAAAAATCTGAAGTCAAAATTTTAACAATTAACAATAACACTGATATAAAAGTGCATTTGAATAAATTATCATTATTATCAAATCACAATAGTATCTAATAATATAACAGTTTCTAAAAAATGTTATTTTGACTGTTAGTAGCTGGCATTTTTACAGCCTTCTAGATGTACCTATTCATTAAGGTTGGGCATAAGCCTTTTGTCTGGGTCCTTCGACGTCTCGTTGAGGAGCCCTCATCCAAGAACCTTTCGTGCTGCCACTGTCAAGAAAGTTCACCCTTCTTTGGCCCCCAACAACTGAGCTCTTTCCTTGGACACAACTAAGTGGTCTTCTCTCCTCCCCTCCCCCCTTCCACTCCCTTGGACTCTTGCATCTCATATAGGTAATCTCCCAGTCAGTGCCGTAGCCAAATTTTTTTAAACAGCTTGGGACAATATCAAAGTGGACCCACTTTAAGCATAAATTAAAATACTGTGGACCCATTTTATTAAAAATTTTACCTATTTAACGCAAAATATGAGAAATCTGGTCCCATTTTCTAAAACGTTGACTGATTTTACACAAAATATAAGAAATCTGGACCCAATTTTAAAATGTGGACCCATTCTTTGTGCACCCAATAAAAAAATTGTGTGGAACTGTCCCACACATTGTCTCTCATCATACTCTAAAATATAACAACCAGGAAGATAATGGTAAAAAT